AAGGCAACTTCTCTCTAATTTTGTAAGATCTCGAGAAAAGGGGATACTCTTGGAAAGCGGACTTTGACTTTCTTCTACATTTTCTAGTTGAGAAGATATTTGCGTCGATATCGAGATAGGTCTCGGCCACCCAAAGGCAACGCTCGAAATGTGTCTAGAATACATTCTTCCAACATAAGCAATAACAAAAGGGGCAATCGTCACCATCCGATTTTGTCTGGGTATAGGCCATGCACTCGAAGTTGCAGAATCGATTGGAAGGTGTTATATGATCATGACCAGTTGACAAAAGCTGCATTGTAGCAAACACATTTCGTAACTCCTATAACCTAAAGAACAACTTCATTTGCCCAGGGCCTTTCCTTCACGGTTGTCGTTTTTGCGACAGCGTCCCTAACAACAGTGTCATTCTCAGCGAGGTATTAAGGGAGAGGAGCGAGCGGTAGATAGAGGAGGTGCCTTTGCAGCGCGTGTGCACATGTGGCCCTGTTCCTTGCAAAGATGCACTTTCATTCTTTGTATACTTTCAAATACTTCCTTCTCGGAGGTAGAGAGACGGAGCGACCATTTTTCTCATATCCTTGTTTTCTGCTGCGCTACACCCTATCCCTCCTATCTGCACCACGATGCCACTGACGTTACTGACCCCCACGAGTACGACCCCCCATGACCCACCTTGACAAATACGACCCCCTGTCGAGGATTTCCTCGATATTCACCCTGCTCAGAACCGTTTGCATGAGCTTCCGCTCCAAGCAAGCTTTTCATTTCTATCCATTTAGAGTTAACCAACGCATGAAGGAGATGGCGAACTGCAACAAAATTTTCGACTCTCCTACAGACGAACTACAAACAACAGTTCAGGTATTTTTTGACTATTGCCTCTAACCTTTTTGAAGCCGATACTGACATTATTCTATTACGTTTCTCAACTTTTTTCGTATCTGAATTACATAGTCGCAAGCGCAACCATAGGCGCTATTATGGTGAAGCAATTTGCGGTAAACCTATTAGTAGATTCTGTTACGATATCACTACAAAACAGCAGACTAGTAACCACTGCGACCCGACCGCGCTGGTCATTTGTTTCCTGATTTGCGTCTACATATTTTGGAGGTGTAAAAATAAACAGTCGCATAAAAATCGGAGTTTACGATGAAAATATTCCACTGCAATGTGGAGGTTGTCAGTGATACAGGAATGAAGAATAATCAAGAACAGCGGCCTAGAACCTGAAAAATGGGACCCCTTTTGCTCATTGATTCAATTATTAGGCGTGCCACATCGGTGCTGAACTCATCAGTGCTAAAGTTTGCTTTGTCAGAGCCGCTAGAGTCAGACGGCGAGCTGGTGGGCGTGCAGCGGCGCGAGTATAACCCTTCTAGTCCTCTGAGGCATGCCCTTCACTGCGAAACCAACATCGTCCTACACCCTTAAAGGCAGCGATTACGATAATTTATAGGAGGGTTCAGAGAGACGAGGTGGTGCTCAGTGGTACGCCAGTGGCGAAAAAAGCAGAGAAATCCGTCAAGAAAACGCAAAACGGGACCCCTTTTTGGCCGTTGGTTTTCACTCATGAACAGGTAACAGCTCAGAAAGCGGACGTATGAACGAGTTCACCGCAACGCGTTTGGTGATGCCAACCACGCTCCAATCGAGTTGCTCCAGTTGTGCCGCTGCTGGCAACGCAGCTCGTCCAAATCACCAACTAAACTAGTGGGCGGATCGCTTTTGGGGGCGGAGTGCTTTCGAAGTCCTGCTCAGCAACCAGCGCACCTTTCGTCGTGAAAGCGCCGCAAAGGTGCCCGCATGTCTTTCCCCTATCATACTTTGCATATTTCCTCATCTCTGACATCCGACCTTACCGTGGAAGTCCTTTTGAGGAGAATTCCACGATAGGGTCGGAAGATGAATAAGGGGAAATATATCTAGTTGGAAGGCAGGCAGGCCTCCTGAGAGTGCAGCGAAGAGAATGCCCCAAGCGGCCTAGGAGGACTGTTCCCGCGCCGCCGGAGCCCACCCCTCGCCTTCTGACTCTGGCCGTTTAGTAGAAAAAGCGTTAGCGTTGAAGAGGCGGCACGATGAGAGTGGTATCAATGCGGAAACTGATGTTCAAACCCATTTTATGGGTTTTGGGCCGTTCCCCCATAGCTTTCTTCATCCCTGCACCACTTACCACCTCATCTTGATTTCTTAGAGGCTGCCTTTTCATCGTAAGCTCTGCCTTTGAATAGCACATGGCTAGCACACAATTTGTGTTTGTGTCGGTTTGCCTGCAATAAACTATATTCATAACCGTGGTCAGTTAGGTTGTCCAGAGTTCCTGCATATAGAAAAGTCTGTGATGGAGGGGTTGGCCTGGCGCCAAGATACCAGTATTTTCCGCTACATGTATTTACTTACTACCGCTGGCTGCTCTCTCGTACCTACCGAAGTGGTTTATTCTGTTCCTCACCCAACTTTCTTTCAGCCGTACACATTCCCGCCGTTCACATTCACGTCACCTCAGAGTTCTAGTGCTTTCCAGCACACAACAACTAGCAGTGCGCCAGTAGGTACGCCGTACTCTGTTCCACAGCTCAACGATGTTGGTGAGTTGGGTGACCTTTGCTTTGCTTTTGGGGGCCTCACAAGTTATTGTATTTGCTCGCCGATATTAGTGAACATTCCTGCTCTGATGGTGCATCGGGTACGCAAGATCGCATCTGTTGCTTAGACCTACTTTTTGGTTATAGTGGTATTGAGCAGTTTCCGAGCATCACTTGCTGCATTCCTCATGTGGATATTATGTAGCCGGTTCAATTGAAACACTCGTGTTATGCGTGATTCGATTTGCTTGGATTTACTGTGTCTTTGTTTTTAAAAGCTTACCGCTCAGCTCTTCCAAGATTCAAAA